TATTTTGAATTGTTTCATTTTTGGTCCGTTACACTATCAATCACAAAGTCAATAGAAAGTCCGTCGAGTGTAACAATTTGTAGGTCACTTCTTTATCACATCTGCCTTACATGTTTCGGTTTAAATACAACCATCATCAGAGGCACATAGTACAATCATGAAAACACTGTTGTTGTTTAAGATGTACACAGTTATGTTTGCTGCGTGGACGCTGCTACAATATGTCGACGTGTAAAAGCACAACACTTGCTAGGATTGTTGAATGCACTACCAATTCTAGCTTTGCAGCTTGTGTTGAGCCTTTTAGTTTTTGCTTAGCGTAATTCGGAATAATGTTTTTGCTTTTACACTCTCGATTGAACCATATGTGAGCGTTAATTCTCAGTAGTTTTCTTTTTGTATTAGTATATTGATTTACCAATCTAGCTTGACAAGCATCTACTATTTTGAATTGTTTCATTTTTGGTCCGTTACACTATCAATCACAAAGTCAATAGAAAGTCCGTCGAGTGTAACAATTTGTAGGTCACTTCTTTATCACATCTGCCTTACATGTTTCGGTTTAAATACAACCATCATCAGAGGCACATAGTACAATCATGAAAACACTGTTGTTGTTTAAGATGTACACAGTTATGTTTGCTGCGTGGACGCTGCTACAATATGTCGACGTGTAAAAGCACAACACTTGCTAGGATTGTTGAATGCACTACCAATTCTAGCTTTGCAGCTTGTGTTGAGCCTTTTAGTTTTTGCTTAGCGTAACTCGGAACATGTAAGGCAGATGTGATAAAGAAGTGACCTACAAATTGTTACACTCGACGGACTTTCTATTGACATTGTTCTAATATCTAAAAGGAGATTATTTATTAGGACATTACATCAGTCATTACTTACAAACAATACCCAGACAACAAACAGGTCACAGATGCCTGCACGCTTAATACCCAGGACACAGATGTAACAACTTGTGTACATCATATGACAGCTATATATTTAAAAAGTGTACTTAGTAGGGAGTATAACCTAGGTGTGTAGTTTACTTTACAGTTAAAATATTCATCGAAGGAATAAAGCGAATTGGAAAGAAGAAACCTTTTTAGCATCGGTTTGAATAATTTCATTACTCAGACTTTTTATATGAGGTGGAAGATGATTATAAGCTCTGATATCAGAGTAGTAGGGTCCTTTTTGGAAAACTGTCATACATGATGTAGGAAGGTGCAAGTTTGTGCTATGTCTAGTACTGAAGCTATGAATCTCATGATTTGATTTGTACAGATCTTTATTTTTTATGACAGAGTATTATCGAGTATATATATTGTGACTACATTGGCAATATATTTAATTTTTTAAATAGATCCATACAGGAGTCTCTAGTTTTTGCATTCATAATAACTCTAATTATCCACTTTTGTATCCTAAAGACATTGATACTGTTAGACATATTACCCAAGAAAATTACACTGTATTCCATAATAGAATGCAGGTAAGAAAAAATTATAAATGGATCATAAAATTTGATAACTGTTTATTACATTTATCTGGGTGGTCCCTCCATGACACACCAGTACAGACAGTAGCTTCCTGGTATGTGCTGGTTCTACACCAGCAGACATGCACGTACACAAGAAATCCTATATACATGTATAAGTAAAAAGTGAAGGTATCCCTGTAACAGGACATGGCAGCCCAAAGGGTTGTGAGATGTTGAGGTTCCCACATTTTCTAGACAATGAGCTCATAGATGGCAGCAAGGTTGTCAGCCCTACACGCCAGCCGCCCTTTACCTCCAATAATATTCCTGGTACTCATTTCTGTTAGAGGCTGAGTCGACCCCAGGGCCATAGTGCAGCCAGAAGGATTAGGTCAATTGAAGAAAAATCCAATGACCTCATTAGGACTTGAGACCTTCAGGCTTGTAGCATAGTGCCTCAACCAACTATGCTACTACGTGCCCGCTATATACTCGTACATCTATATAAAACAAAAAGAAAACTTCTATAAACAGGAACATTTCAAATGTCTTCCAGAAAACAAAACTACCACCGTAAGTATAACTGTCAGCAAAACCAACCACCACCATGTACAAACAGGAGTCTACCAGGCACTCTTTGTCTCCATCTCTGTTATCCATATATACAAATATCACTGAGCAATGGCAAACAGTATAACTGGAAAGCCAACCCACCTTAGTGAGAAGAGTGGAAATAAAAAAATATACCTTTGAAATGGACAGGCAGACTAATGTTCAGTGCTATACATTCACATGCAATATTCAAAATCCACATGTTTGCATTAACACTTTGCAGACCGTGCACCCTTTAAAAGGTTTTTCGCTTTTAAACATGGTGGACCGTTCGCGTGTTAACATGCTTTTAGAACACGATAAGTTGCAACACACTATACATCACTCTGGCGCCACCTACATTGCACGCAACCACCTGCAGATGCGTGATAAGACTCTGGAATGTTTAGTTAGCAGTCAGTAACTTGACCTCGCTGTTTACTTAAGCGACTATAAAGTTCTCCTCCGATGAACTAGCTGACCTGCCTTGTGAGATGCATAGTAATTGATTAATTGTCATTCAGACAGTGACAGTGATGGGGGACAACAAAGAATTGTGGCCACAGACAGTAAAAGTGACAGTAGCTCTGACGATAATGCGGGTAATAACATTGCGCATAGTAACATTGCAGGGACAGCAAAAAATCTAAAAAAAAAAATCTAAACCCTGATTCAAAATTGAAATACAGGTACAAATCATTTCTGATGAATGTGGCAAAGGCCTGGGCTACAGTCTAGATGGTGGCGGCAGAACCTGGGTCACACAAAGACTTAGTACGACCGGGCCCATTTACTCCCACCCCATGAAGGCCTCATGTGGACCCCCAGGGCGACTTTTGAGTGGTATGCGGAAAAATACCCGCTTGAAAATTGTGAAGAGTGAACATTCTAAGGGGAACAATACTTCTAGGCAATGCCATGTTTGCACAGTTCACAAAAAAAGGAGTATGTCTACATTTGCAAGTTCTGTGTAATGCCACTTCACAAAGAGGAAAGTTTCCAGAAATATCACACCCTCATGCACTTCTAGGAGCACTGGTAAGTGTTCTCCAAAAATTTTAGTTCAAAAAATTAATTAGGAGATTTTATATTAATTTTTAAAGTGAACAGTGCACAAGTTAGGGTAGTATGTTTAAAAATGCCGGTCCCCAGGGTGATTTAAATCACCAGTCCGCGAAGTGTTAAATTACAAATATTCAATGGCAATATATGAGCTACTCTATTAGAGTATATATAGTGTATACAACACACCTGTGGATCCACTCAGCCTACATGAAAATTTATGCTAAGTGTATGATATATTAACTGTAACTATAAACATGACCTGGATGATGGCACACATATGCTGAAATATGTCTGATACTTCATAAGCAACATTCCTATATTTATAAAACAGGAATCTTAGCAGCTCCATCTGCTGGAAGTAGTGTTATGTTCATAAAGGATACAATAAATGTTATTCTGTAATGATTTATACAACAGGATGCAACAAAATATGAGTTTGAATTGGCAGTAAATTCAGGACACAAGCTACATTATGCTAATAAAATCATAACTTGATGTAGTGATCACTCTCATTTATTATGCTGGCCTAGGTATACTTTGTCGTTTAGTTGCAATTCAAATAGTCAACCAGGAAGTTAGTCGCTCTTCAGATAGTTACCTGGGAAGTAAGGCATAAATTAGATTTACAAATTATGTAAAAAATTAAGTATCACATGTGAAAAGTTATGTTTTAGGTATAATGCTCTGCTGTCCATTGTAACTCAATCAACATTTTGGAGGAACAACAAATGATTGATCTGCTGTTGTGTTTTTGAGAAGAATGTTCACCTTGCTACCCAGGTTTTATCGCCCGCAGGTTCCTTCTGCAATGTAATTCCTGTTCTGCGTGACTAGAGCCTCCATCACTTGCTAGGCACAACAATTCCTGTCCTGCAAGTCACAATTGCAGCAGGTTGAGATATCTGCATCTCTGGACACTCACAATGGTGATGACCACTTCCAGCAGCAAAGAGGTTGCCTGCAGTGCACCCAGATATGACAAAACACTGAAAATTGTAGCATCGTGTTAGTATCTCCTGGAGGGCCACAGTGATGTCCTCTACAGAAAGGTTGCCGGGAAAATGCCCGATAACAGCTTCAACAGCTTCATGCACCTTTGTGTAAAATATAAAGTGATTTTTCTCAGTGAGGGATTTTTGTATGGCACTGTGGTCCACAATACATTTGGTTGTGATCCAGGTTCTGGTTGCAGTGATGTGGAAGAATTCCTCACTCATGTAACATTAAAGTTCTGTTTGGAGACAATCAAATTGGCCCCCCAGTGTTAATATGTTAGGTTGTGACCTACCTTTGACTGGACTGTCACTTGTTTCAGGAGTTTCCTTCACTGCTTCGTTCTGCATTTTCCCTAGGTATACCCCTGATTGGCACAAGAAGTTAGTCATTGCCAGTGGCTGTGGGTTTTGATTAGTCGGAGGTGGTCTCATCTGTTTCTTGGTGCAGCACTCACAGTCAAATTTCTGTCTATTTCGGGACTTGATTTTTCTACTTAGGTACTCGGTTAAAAGCTACCACTCATTTCTTATTATGTTACATACAGGTGAAATTACCTGACAAATAACACGTGAACACCCACATGCTTGCAGAGGATGTACTATCTCTGCTTCAGCTCTATCTGCTAGTTGTTTCCACTTGACTCAATTGCCATTTACTTTGGTCAAATTTTGAACAGCTGGCCTATTTGAACTACAGAAGCCTATACTAGAATCATTTCCATCTTGACGTCCAGGTGGCCTGCTATTAATTTTTATACAGCTTATAAAGCAAGGCGATCATGCCTGACCGCCATGTTTCACATTTCGTTCCTGTTGCATGAGCGATCTCTTCCAAACACAACATGCTGTGGGCTCCCACCCACATGGTGTATTTTCTGTGATGAATTGTATTTCTGTTGTTTTAAAAGTTTACATTAATTACAAGTACAGATGCTATAAAACTAGCACCAATTTGTGTTTCAACAGAAGTGCAGTTTCTTACTTGAGGAAAAGTTACATCTTCGACACGGACTTCACAGAATACACCGCTTCCAAGTACATTTCTATTGTTGCTTGTCAATTAATTGCAGTGGAAACGTGTTGAATAGTCAAACTATTACTACCCCTCATACCCAATATGTTTTATTGCAAACTGGCATATAACTATGGGCAGTAAGTGAAAATAGAATATACTAAACTTTTATTATTGACGTAACGGTATTCATTACTAAGTGGCAATGGAGCAACCTTGTATGTCCTCTGGTATAACTTTAGTTTTAGGGTCGAGGGCACACTAAGGAAACTGGCAACCGTAACGCACCCTCATTTACTGAGAATTGTTATCAGCTTGACTTCAACATATGGTAACGTGTTGGGTATATGTCACAAGACAATTAACTTCACGCCGTCTTGGATCTAGCGAATTTATTGAACACTCGCTCTCACAATTACACAATTTACAGTACCACAACTACGTGATAACTTTCACTGTTTCGTGACGTCGTGTTTACCGACTGCCTAGTAACAGTCGCTGCACGGGCACGCCTGTTGCGTGACGCCATGTTTACAAAGGCGTTGCTGGGCAACGGTGCCAAGAGTTGTTTATTACTGCGTGCTTAGGCTAGGGTCGGCTCGAAGAAACACCGCTTTCCTTACTGTTGCGTAACTTGGCAACCGACCGTTTATCAAGGGTCTGTCTTCGCGGAAACTCGTTCCACCTCCCATTGCCCAGCAACGGTTAAACATGTCACAATATGTCACAGAATGGAGCAAAGCAAATTGAGGAAATGGCAATGTACGCTGCTTCATTCAGTAGCATGTGTTCAGCGCAGTCTGACAACAATTATCGGTAATTGCAATTGCCAGTTTCCGTGGTGTGCCCTCGTCCTTAGTAATCCGTGATCTCCAACTCCTGTTCGATATGCACGGATCGTTACCAGGCGGAAGAGCATTTGTCATCTGTGTTTGTCCGACACGTTCAAACATAAGGATGAACATGTAACATGCTTCCGGTTAGTATAGCAGACATGGCGAGTGCTCGTGGTTCTTCCAGGCGAGTGCCAGATAATGAATCTTCTATAGCCTATGTACAAATGGATGGTTTGGTAAATACAGTGAAGTTTACGAATAATTATTTATGTTTTATTGTTGAATAAATGTGGCTTCTACGTGTAATTGTTTTTAACTAGAATATTATTTCTGACAGGCTGTCATGAAAATGATAAAACATAGTCATGAAGAATCGACGGGGAATATGGAAGTTGCACAAGGAGCTCTGTTAGGTTTGGTTGTTGAAAACTGCCTTGAAATTACCAACTGCTTTCCATTCCCAAAACATAACGACGAAAGTATGGATGAAGGTAATTTGTAATATTCACTTTCCATATGTTCACAACAGTTATTGTGTACACATAGATCAGCATAAGGTAGAATTTCTTCATTTGCTTTCCTGGCATAAATGTTCGGCTGAAACGGAGTTGGGTGAGGTTCTGACAGAAATCACTATGAAGGGTACTGTCTTCTGGGATGTGACATTTTACAATCTGGTACAAGTTTACCGACATTTTGGAGGAACATACTGCTCTGATCTTCTAGGTCGAACAGTAGGCCCAGTAAGCAGTAGAGTGTTGCTTACTTGCCTTGCCCTTCATGCAAGATGTAGTACAGTCTTCTGAAACATCTGAACTTTACCAGATTACACAGCTTCACATTCTAGGAGGTAATACTCCTCAAATGGAAGCTGATCATCCCCCACTGGCATCCATTTTTTAGATCTGTTGGATTGTTATAAGCATTCAGTTAATTTTCCAGAGGAATACCAGCTAGCAATGATGCGACGTCTACGAAGAGTTAATGTAGACCATTTCCATGTTGGTTGGTATCAAAGTGCAGATGTTGGAAACTTCCTTAGCTTGCCCTTATTGGAATCACAATACCATTACCAGACATCTATTGAAGAATCAGTTGTTGTCATATATGGTGAGTCCAGATATTGAGTTAAGTAATCAGATATGAAAATGTCTGTCTCTAAGGCGCAATTAATTTGAGGGAGTGTACTTTCGCAAATAATTTTTCAGTTTATATTAACCTTTAACGTACGGACTTTTAAATTGCCGGCAGCTCCCTACGGCCGGAATTTAAATGGCCCTAAGTCTTTAACATTGCAAACTTTCAGAAAAAAATGCATATTTTCCGTTCTATGCAACATCGGAATATGAACTAAAAAGAACCTGAAAGACAATAAAATTTTCTACATATATACAAAAGGGCAAGTTTTACAAATGAAAATCAACTGTGAGTATTTTGTCATGAAGTGCAAAATATAATCATTATTATATACGTTATGAAATTCCAAAGGACTTACATGTTGTTTTTCTTCAACCTTGAATCGTGGTGGCGATGTAAATATGACGACACTATATACAATAATATTTGGTTCGGACTGTACACGGGTTGGACTGCATCGCTTCACAGTTTCACTCTGACGCGCGTGTCCCACTCTCGAAGCAGTCCATCACACAGCGCGACATCACACTCTACAGCGGTAAAGCGTGCTCCCGCTTTTCTTGTTTATAGAACAAACGTCTTTGTTTCCCTTTAGCTGGTCAGTGTTTTGAATGTTTCACCTCCAGTCGACTCAGTTGGGCCCCAGATGAACTTGGCCTCCCTCGAAAAACACCACTGACCGTGATATTCGCCTCATGTGATTGAAGAATCAAATCACGCACCAAAATTTCGCGGAAATTTTTGTGCGTCATTTTTCCATCACATGACTTGTGTAACAGATATTCATTGAGAATAGACATGTCTAGTAGGTGGAAGAATACTCGCAAAATTGTGATGCAAAGTAATTGCAAAAGCAGTCGAAAAGTGCCAGTCCGCCACTGATACCGAAAGTCACGGTGACGAAGATGTCTTTACGCACAAAGTAACACTGGCTCAGTGTATTTATACCACTTCCGAGATACACAATAAAAATGATATAAAAGAAATACAGGAGTCTGACACTGACTTCCTAACTTTTAACAAAATATAGAAAATCCGCCACTGACGTCCTAACTGAGAATTCAACACTGCAAACCAATCCCTGAATGAGCCACACTTCCTTGAAAGCTCTGGCAGCACTGCTATGAAAGTGCTTATGAATATTTCCTCCTCTAACTTCTCAAAACAAAGCTGACCTCTATTGGCTCACCAGGTCATAAACAGTCATATCTAATCGTAAATAGTTTCGAAACCAGTACCCTGATAAACGATTTCATTGTTCAGAGCTAACAAATAAACGTCTGACATGAACGTTCATGAGTTTGTTTGGGTTTCAAACCCAAGGTCAAACTGCCAGCACTCACAAAGGAAACACGTGGCTTGCCCCTAAAAATTATAACATTCGGCCAGCTCGGCTTGCTACTTGATGCGAATAATTATAACATTTGGCCGTTAAAGGTTAATCTGTATTTAAATGTAATTCAGTTTGTATGTGATGAATGCAGTCAACTTTCATCTGATCGTGCTTCTTTAATCATAGTTAATACAATGGGTATTTGTAAATTCTAGCCATTTACAAATATAATTCTCCATTTCTTTTTTGTCAGGCTACAGGTTCTCTATGAAACATATTTGTTTACTCTTTTGACATTTTTTGTAATGGAGTCAGAATTTGTGATGGTGAAATAAAACAGTTTTAGAGGCATTTATTTAGTTTATTTATTTCTTATTATCATTCACAGATCCATTCAGGTACAAACCATTTGATATAGAAATTGTCAGTTTAACCCTTTCCACGTTTATAGTGTTGTTGTTTTTGAATGGGAATATTTAAAACCAATATTTCCATCATTTTCCAGGCATATTGCATGTGTTATCTATTATAAAATAGAATGTACATAATCAAATTTTCATTCATCTGTTGGCCTTGCCTCCACAGATACCCAGAAGTCAGCTCGAGGCTTCCTTACGGTGAAAGCATATCGCTTGACTCCACAAGCAATACAGATGTATAAGGACAATGAATTTACTCCAGAAGCCCTAAGAAATCTTAAGATTGGATATGAAAGTTTATTCTTGGAAGTCCCCATTGTTATCAAGAATTCTCATCTTACGAACATCATGTTGTCTGAACTAGCAGATATGATTCCGGAGGAAGAGGGAACTAAATTCCTTGATTTAGGAACAGCGTAAGTTATCTATACACTTTGTAAAACCACTGGAAGACCTGTGCATATGTGGGAAGAATAATATTAAAATGAATCCTAAAGAGATGACCACCTTTGTGGTCTAGTGGTCAGAGTTCCTGGCAACAGATACCGAGGTTCCTGGTTTGATTCCTGGCATTACCAGATTTTCGGGGAAGTAGTCTGTCTGGGACAGGATAACTGAGTAGCTATTTCAAGGAAATAGCGACTCCGGTCTAGAAAACCGAAATTAATGGCTGTGGGGATTTGTTGTGCTGACCACACGACACCCTCTGTCCGCTAAAGTTGGAACTTAATTCGCCAGCAAGTGGCGGTTGCTCGGTCAGTATAGTTCGCCTGTGGACTCAAGCCACTGAAGGTTTTTTAATCCTAAAGAAATAAGATATGATGGTGTAGACTGGATTCGATAGTCTGAGAATGGGGCCCTACTTAAACCTGGAAGTGAATTTTTAGGTTTTGTAAAAGATTGCAAATTTTAGACAAGCTGAATGACTGCCAGGTTCTCAGTAAGAACTGTGCTGTATGGAGATGGTCTAAACTGGTTAAATAATTACAGTAAAACTATATGGGAATTGTGCATCTCTTAAGCCTGACTTTCATGTCATGGACGCTTCTCTCTGAAATTGAGTCATAGCAGTAGATTGTAACAGCTGTTGTAGAGCAAATGTCACTTCCAAGGAGAATAATTTAGTTAAATATTAGTTGTTTGATGTATTCAAGCAGTCACAGGCAACTGCTGTAACTAAATAAAATAAGACGATACCATGGCATAATTGAGGTACAGCGTGAACACTCACATTGTAGGTTACCTGTGTTACGGACTGACCATTGTTGTTTCTTTTTACACGTGTTCACAACACTGTAGAGTGCCTGTTAAATTTGCTACATCCATCCATCTGTTTGTGTGTACAAAACAGTGCAAGAACTGTGGAATTGATTTTGATGATATTTGATGTTAAGTTTTAGTGAAATATGTTCACACATTCCAGTTTTGGTTAAAACTGGACAAAAATAATGGACACTTTACATGAAGACCTACATGCATTCTACATTACTTTGCTAAATATTTATTGGTGCAAAGCATATTTCAAACAAAAGTTGTATACAAAAGAAACTCAATGATTGTTGAAGTCTCTGATTCACAGTAATGTCCTCCTCCCTGAATTACAGATATTTCTGGGTATAAATATTGTGACATGTTGACCCCTCCCACCCCTCAGCGGTAACGTAACGCTCGCGTGATAGGCGAGTAATCTCCCCGCATCCTGGCAGCCATGCGCGGTGACGTCACGAGCGGAGCCGAAGAGAGCCGAGCGGAGCCGAAGATAGCCGAGCCCCGTAACCGGGTAACTATGCAAGGCGAATCAACAGCGGTGACGTAACCGGACAGCGTGGCTAGCAACAAGGGTGCCTATTACGTGGCCGTTTTCCCGTATTGTCCGATCGAGGCTACATAGGGAGCAGCGAAGGCTATTCACAGTCAGTTATAAAGCAACAGTCGCCGAGGTCAGTTGTATTGTGGCATTTGGAGTGTACTAATTGTGATACTGCAGATAGCAGTAATCGTAAATCTGTAATTTGGGTGATTGTAAGTGCGAATGTGAAATAAAATTCGCTACACCGAATACATCGAGAAGTTATTTGTCGCGATATACCCC